AGGTAATGATAATGATAACGCTGTAGAAGACAAATCATTTGTTTTCTAATTCAATTCTAATATAATTCTGATACTGTTCTAATTCAGTAATGTTGACTTGTTGACGCGAAAATGGCATGTTCTTACTATGTCGTAAAATGTTGCTATGTACAGTACAGTATTCCACAAAAATACGTAAAAAATCCTGTTCCCAGTTTACTCCCGCACCCGTCATCTCTCCCTCTCTGAGGGAACGATTTTTAACTGACCTTGGCATCCGTATCAACCCAAACTAAACTGGACAGTGAGCCGTCTTAGTTAACAGTTTCTGTCATCGCCGAATAGTTTTGGATCGAGAAGCGTCGCGGGGAGGCTAATTATGACTTAACTGAAATCGCATATCTTTGGGCGAAAGGCCTAGCTGTAAACCACAACACAACGTGGCAACCACCCTTTTTTGGGGAAAAGAACAATTATCACCTAGCAGGGAATCGAACAACGGTCACCCGAGTGAAGGATGGCATATTTACAACTATACTACCGACAACTGAAGAGTTTAGGTCAGATATCGCAGCCTAGCTGTAAACCACAACACAACGTGCCAACGGCCCTCTCGAGGGCGAACGAAGATTACCCGTGACATGACCATTGAGCATTACGTCGCCGCTGTCGCAGGCTAGCTGTAAACCCCAAAACCGAAAAAGGCGTAGATATTGCAGCCTAGCCATAAACCACAACACAACGTGCCAGTTAAGGGCTAAAAAAAAAGAAATTATATCACCTAGCGGGGAATCGAACGTGGGTCACCTGCATGATAGGCAGAATAGCTACCAACTACGCTACCAAATACTCAAGCAAATAGTAGAAATGAAATTATATAATAATGCAAAGTCCAATAAGAGCTCAGCAGTCAAATATGGCCGATCACATAAAAACAAATCCGGGCTGGCAAACAAAACAAATAATGATTTGACCGTTGCTGGAGCTACGTCGTTCATGGTTTGTGCGATTTTCTGACCAAAAAATCACGCTTGGAGTCAGTGGCAACGTTGTGTGCAAATATGAAAGCAATCGGTTCAGTAGTTTCCGAGTTTTTCGCTAACAACATCGGAAAATTAACATTTTTATTAATATATACATAGAAACTCAGTCGGCTGACATTATTTAATCCAACTATTTCGCATGGTTTGCGTCCCAACTTCTGTCTTCCCCAACTGTTTTACTTCATTTTCTCCTTTCCTTCTCCGTGCAGTTGTTGCTATTGTTTTTTTTGTTTTGTTTTGTTGTTGTTGCTTTTATTCCTTTGCCCAGTGCGAATACTTTTTACTTATCTTGTATCAGGTATTCTCAACATGTGCTCTTACACACAAGCGCATATTGCGTACATTTCTCTCTCTCTCTCTCTCTCTCTCTCTCTCTCTCTCTCTCTCTCTCTCTCTCTCACACACTCTCTCTCACTCTCTCTCTCTCACTCTCACTCACTCTCACTCACTCTCTCACTCTCTTTCTCACTCTCTCTCTCACTCACTCTCTCTCTCACTCACTCTCTCACTCACTCTCTCTCTCTCTCTCTCTCTCTCACTCACTCACTCTCTCTCTCACTCTCTCTCTCACTCACTCTCTCTCACTCTCTTTCTCACTCTCTCTCTCACTCTCTCTCTCTCACTCACTCTCTCTCAATCACTCTCTCTCACTCACTCTCTCTCACTCACTCTCTCTCTCACTCTCACTCACTCTCTCTCTCACTCTCTCTCTCTTTCACTCTCTCTCACTTTCACACTCACTCACTCACTCACTCACTCACTCACTCACTCACTCACTCACTCACTCACTCACTCACTCACTCACTCACTCACTCACTCACTGACTCACTGACTCACTGACTCTCTCTCTCACTAACTCACTCACTCTCTCTCTCTCACTATTTCTCTCTCTCTTTTTCTCTCTCACTCACTCACTCACTTTCTCTCTCTCACTCTCTCTCTCACTCACTCTTTCTCTCACTCACACTCTCTCTCTCTCTCACTCACACACACTCTCTCTCACTCTCGCTCACTCTCTCACTCTCTCTTACTCTCTCTCAATCTCTCTCTCTCACTCTCTCTCACTCACTCACTCTCTCTCTGTCACTCTCTCTCACTCACTCACTCTCGCTGTCACTCTCTCTCTCTATCTCTCTCTCACTCACTCTCTCTCTGTCACTCTCTCTCTGTCACTCTCTCTCTGTCACTCTCTCTCTCTCTCTGTCACTCTCTCTCTGTCACTCTCTCTCTCTGTCACTCTCTCTCTCTCTGTCACTCTCTCTCTCTTTTTCTCTCTGTCACTCTCTCTGTGTAACTCTCTCTCTGTCACTCTCTCTCTGTCACTCTCTCTCTGTCACTCTCTCTCTCTGTCACTCTCTCTCTGCCACTCTCTCTCTCTCAGTCAATCTCTCTCTCCCTCACACACTCTCTCTCTCTCTGCCACACTCTCTGACTCTCTCTCTGTCACACACTCTCTCTGTCTCTCTCTCTCTCTCTTTCTCCCTCTCTCTCTATCTCTCTATTGATATTGCCGAAACATTAAAAGGCATGTTAGATGACACAGAGTATATTTGCATGTAGTGGCTACAACTGTCGCACTAGAGCGGTGACGTATGTACCCAACTCGGAAGTCACGTGTTTGCATTAGGGGAACGTGGTCAGACAAATATGAACAGGTTGATGGGGACAGGTAGGGCAATAGTCAGACATGTGCAGATAGACATTACTGAGACACAGACTTGAAGAGACAAAGTGGAAAGAGCACATCGATACTGAGCTACAGGGAACACGTAGAGCAGCAGTCACATTTGGGCGGGGTAGACAGACGTTAGTTGGTATTAAATAGGATAGATAATAAATAGACTGGAAGGGAGAAATATACATCGAACTCTACTTTGCGTAGAGAGAGAGAGAGAGAGAGGACAAAGAAGGTTATATTGATCATGATGAAAAAGATAATTATGATGATGATAATAGTGGTGATAATAATAATGATGATTATGATGGTGTTGTTGTTGGTGATGATGATGATGGTTGTGGTGTTGGTGATGTTTATGATTATGATTATAATGATGACGATGGTATTGGTGGTGGTGATGATGATGATGATGATGATAGGGTTAGTGATGATGATAATTATGAGGATTATGATGATGATGATGATGATGATGATGATGATGATGATGGTGGTGGTGATGCTGATTTTGATGATGATAATGGTGGTGGTGGTGGCGGTGGTGGTGGTGTTGATTATGATGATGATAATGGTGGTGGTGGTGTTGATTATAATGATGATAATGGTGGTGGTGGTGATGATGGTGGTGGTGGTGTTGATTATGATGATGATAATGGTGGTGGTGGTGGCGGTGGTGGTGATGCTGATTTTGATGATGATAATGGTGGTGGTGGTGGCGGTGGTGGTGGTGATGGCGGCGGTGGTGGTGGTGGCGGTGGTGGTGGCGGTGGCGGTGGTGATGCTGATTTTGATGATGATAATGGTGGCGGTGGTGGTGGTGGTGGCGGTGGTGGTGGTGATGCTGATTTTGATGATGATAATGGTGGTGGTGTTGATGGTGATGGTGGTGGTAGCGGTGGTGGGGGTGTTGATGGTGATGGTGGTGATGGCGGTGGTGGTGGTGTTGATGGTGACCACCACCATAGTGGTGCTGATTATGATGATGATAATAGTGGTGGTGGTTGCGGTGATAATGATAAAAGTGGGCAGAGTAGAGTAATGTTTAGACATAGGAGCACAGACAAGATGATAAATAGTATAAATGCGATGATTGCAATGAGACATACATTTAGGAAGAAAACACAGAAACTCAGTCAGATATGACTGCAGCCCCAAGCGGAAAAATAATCTGAAATTGAATTGAATTAGTCCCCCAAACAGAAATAGAAGAGCAGAGACAGACAGAGCGACAAAGTTTAGAAACTGAATGTATCGTTTCACTCTTTCATTTCCAGATTTCACAACAGTTGTCCGACGGACACAACAGCTGTCCGAAGGACACAACAGCTGTCCGAAGGACACAACAGCTGTCTAAAGGAAGCATTAACTTCAACGACGAGTGGTTCACTTTCAAAAAGGCAATACGTTGAACTTAATGTTAAAATATCTATCCAGCTGTCTTTGCTAACGTTAGACCAAGAGTGAAAGATGTAACAGTACATAACGCGTTTTTGTGGTTTTTTTTTAAATACACATTAGAAGCTGAATCAATCAGTAAGACTAAGAAAGAAACATATCATGTATTTTATGTCCAAGGAATTCAAGTGTGTGAGGTAACGAGCAGGCTGATAGATTGATTACTTGCAGCTAGTCTAAACAGAGAGATACTTTATAAATAAATGGACGTGGTGAAGGCTGTCTGCGATCAAATGGACACTGCGATAGAAATGGCAGAGAATTTATAAATTGAAAAATTAATTCAACAGATAGTCATTAGACGTTCTGAAAGATATTTAACACCGAGGGGAAAACACACAGGCTTTCAATCAGGCTACAACAGGGGCTATTAGCCTGCCGACTCTTCATTGGCTACTAAAGAAGGAGACGCGGTGCTCATTGAATATCTTAGCCCAAACAAGGAAAAATCTACAGGTCACGGGACAGTCTAATATTTCAGGGGGTGGTAGATAGACTAAATGCAGTCGTGAGACCTATGCTGCGTGCATTAGGGGGACCCAGTGCTGCACTCTCTCGTGGGAGGTAGGTGGGGTGGGGTTAGGGCCAGTTCTAGATGTGCTTGGGTCGTTAAAAGCACCAGAAAGCCGGCCTTACCACCCTCTAAAATGTTGGACTGTCCTATGACGTCCTCTGGGGTAGGATATTAATAAAGAACCGGAGACGCTGCACCTGTGGGAATGGCCCGAGCGCAGTGATGTCAATTGTTGATTCATTGATTGATTCATTCATTTGTAGACACAAATAAAACTGAAGACTCATGGAACGTGGCTTGGGACAGACAAGAAACAGAAACAAGACTAACTTACTTTCGATCGCATCGGCAGTGGGACAGTGTGTGGAGCCTGTAGTTAAACATGCCGTACTTCCAGGTCAGTCTGGAAATGACCAGTGGGCAGAGGTCGTGTCGGCGACAGCATTTGTCTAATTCCAGATGGTATCCCATGTCGTGTTTGCTCTCCGCGATGTCTCCATCACCGCACCTGCAGCCAAAAGGATACAGTCATGAACACAAGTCCACAATGAAGGTTCGCTGCAGTGCACCCACTACTTTATGTGGGAGTATTGCATGGTAAGATCCCCATCCCCTACAAAGCGCGACTCTACAATTGGTTTCAAAAGTCGTACCCTCACAGTTTAGTATGGAATAAAGCCTTCCCCTTGTGGGACAAAAATTTTTTTTTTGGGGGGGGGGGGGGGGGGGTGGTTATTTTAAAGCTACACCCTGGCTTTTGCCGGGGGCCTTAAAAATATAGTTGGACCATAAATATGGCCTTACGGTTGAACGGGGTTTCCAGGACCTCTCCACTGGTGATCCTCATCCGCATGGTGGCACTTTGTGTCACAGTGCGTTTTTGGCTTGTGTTATGTCCTGGTTGGGTACAAGTTAACTACCTTATCCTCACAATTCAACACACATCTGGAAATCCTTTTACTGATAAACAAGAATTTTTTTCATGTGGCTACAGATTTTTTTATGTCCTCAAAGTTGACATTTGCACAGATGGTGCTGTTTTCTTGAAGCGGCTAATTTCTTTTATCTTTGACTAATAATTTGTGTGCCACTTAAAAAAAAAAAAAAAATCATAATATACAGTAATTTACACAAGAATGAAAATTTTTTGTACATCAGTTCACACATGCAGCGATCCGTGGTGAGTATTTTTATCGCCGACCTCGCATACAATTAACAAAACAAAAAAAAAAACCTGTATTCATCTGGTTCACGGGAGGCTAATGCCGGAAATAACCATCTGAGAATAACACGCCTTTGAAACGCGTACAATCTGATGTTTTGAAAAGTTGCCGTTGCTCAGGTAGCTGTAAGCATGCTGACTGTGTTTTAAAAAGTTGTCGTTGCTCAGGTAACTGTAAGCATGCTGACTGTGTGTTTTGAAAAGTTGCCGTTGCTTAGTTAAATGTAAGCATGCTGACTGTGTGTTTTAAAAAGTTGCCGTTGCTCGGGTAACTGTATGCACACTGACTGTGTGTTTTGAAAAGTTGCCGTTGCTCAGGAAACTGTAAGCATGCTGAATGTGTGTTTTGAAAAGGTGTCTGTTTTTTCCTATACCGCTAAAAGACAACTTCTTCTTCTTCTTCTTTCGTTCGCCTGAAATAAGTTGTCTATATCAGCAGTTTTGTCTCTTGTATAAATTTCACTGTCGTTGTTAGTTCATTCAGCGGTCCATAGAGTTTACGTTTTACTGTTGTTTTTCTGGCCAAAAGGTTTGCCTTAATGTGTCAAAATCGGTGCAGTCCTGGAGTACATGCTGTGCTGTCTGGGGCACTGTTCCACAGGTGCACATGGCTGATGAACCTATCTTGAATTTTGTGCACATGTGGTTACGTAATCGGTTGTGCCCTGTTCTGAGGCGGAGGATAATGACTTGTTATGATCTGTCGAAAATAAAATAGTCGTCTTGTGCTGGGGCTGGTGGTTTCCTGATGGATTTAATTATTCTTTTCTGTCGGTGGTATGTGACTGGTACATCCGGCTGCACTTTTGTCGCACCTTCCCCTGCCAGTTGATCAGCTTTCTCATTAAGACAACATGAAAACTACCTGCTCCATTATATTAAAAAAAAAAAAAAAAATACATGGTGGAAACCCGACGCTAATGCATCTAGGATTGTGAAATTGTATAGTGCGTTCACTAATTTCTTAGCCACAGAGCCCAAAATACAAGACAATCGTAAAGGCGTGGGTACAGTATACATGCTAATGCAAGAATAGCCTAGGTATATATGTTCAGCACATATAGTGTAACAACAAATACTAATTAATAAAGGTGTAGTTTAGACATGTATATTAATGAACGTGTAGGCTAGACATGTATATTAACAAAGGTGTAGTCTATACACAAAGATTAATGAAGGTGTAGTCTAGACATTTGCACTAATAAAGGTGCAGTCTAGAGGCATATATTAATGAAGGTGTCGTCTAGACACATATATTAATGAATGTGTAGTCTTGACATGCATATAACAATGAAAGTGTAGTCTTGACACATATTTTAATGAATGTGTGGTCTAGGCATATATATTGATGATGGTATAGTCTAGACGTGTAAAAAATAATGAAGATGTAGTCCGGACTCATATATTAACGAAGGTATGGTGCAGACAAATTTATTAATGAACGTTTAGTCTGGATGTATATAACCATGAAACTGTAGTCTAGACACATATATTGATGAAGGTGTAGTCAAGACATGTATATAACAACGAAGATGTAGTTTATACATGTATATAGAAATGAAGATGTTGTCTAGACATGTATTTAATAATGATGTAGTCTAGACATGTACTTAATAATGAAGATGTAATCTAGACATGTACTTAATAATGAAGTTGTAATCTAGACATGTACTTAATAATGAAGATGTAATCTAGACATGTACTTAATAATGAAGATGTAATCTAGACATGTACTTAATAATGAAGTTGTAATCTAGACATGTACTTAATAATGAAGATGTAATCTAGACATGTACTTAATAATGAAGTTGTAATCTAGACATGTACTTAATAATGAAGATGTAGTCTAGACATATACTTAATAATGAAGATGTAATCTAGACATGTATTTAATAATGAAGATGTAATCTAGACATGTACTTAATAATGAAGATGTAATCGAGACATGTATTCAATAATGAAGATATAATCTAGACATTTATTTAATAATGAAGATGTAATCTAGACATTTATTTAATAATGAAGATGTAATCTAGACATTTATTTAATAATGTAGATGTAGTCTAGACGTGTATAAAATAATAATGAAGATGTAGTCTAGACATGTACTTAATAATTAAGATGTAGTCTAGACGTGTATAAAATAATAATGAAGATGTAGTCTAGACATGTACTTAATAATTAAGATGTAGTCTAGACGTGTATAAAATAATAATGAAGATGTAGTCTAGACGTGTATAAAATAATAATAAAGATGTAGTCTAGACATGTACTTAATAATGAAGATGTAGTCTAGACATGTACTTAATAATAAAGATATAGTCTAGACATGTATTTAATAATGAAGATGTTGTCTAGACATGTATTTAATAATGAAGTTGTAATCTAGACATGTACTTAATAATGAAGATGTAGTCTAGACATATACTTAATAATGAACATGTAATCTAGACATGTATTCAGAAATGAAGTTGTAATCTAGACATGTACTTAATAATGAAGATGTAATCTAGACATGTACTTAATAATGAAGATGTAGTCTAGACATGTATTTAATGATGAAGATGTAGTCTAGACATGTATTTAATAATGAAGATGTAATCTAGATATGTACTTAATAATGAAGATGTAATCTAGACATGTACTTAATAATAAAGATGTAATCTAGACATGTATTTAATAATGAAGATATAGTCTAGACATGTACTTAATAATGAAGATGTAGTCTAGACATGTATTTAATAATGAAGATGTAGTCTAGACATGTACTTAATAATGAAGATGTAGTCTAGACATGTACTTAGTAATGAAGATGTAATCTAGACATGTATTTAATAATGAAGATGTAATCTAGACATGTATTTAATAATGAAGATGTAATCTAGACATGTATTTAATAATGAAGATGTAATCTACACATGTACTTAATAATGAAGATGTAATCGAGACATGTATTCAATAATGAAGATATAATCTAGACATTTATTTAATAATGAAGATGTAATCTAGACATTTATTTAATAATGAAGATGTAATCTAGACATTTATTTAATAATGTAGATGTAGTCTAGACGTGTATAAAAAAATAATGAAGATGTAGTCTAGACATGTACTTAATAATTAAGATGTAGTCTAGACGTGTATAAAATAATAATGAAGATGTAGTCTAGACATGTACTTAATAATTAAGATGTAGTCTAGACGTGTATAAAATAATAATGAAGATGTAGTCTAGACGTGTATAAAATAATAATAAAGATGTAGTCTAGACATGTACTTAATAATGAAGATGTAGTCTAGACATGTACTTAATAATAAAGATATAGTCTAGACATGTACTTAATAATAAAGATATAGTCTAGACATGTATTTAATAATGAAGATGTTGTCTAGACATGTATTTAATAATGAAGTTGTAATCTAGACATGTACTTAATAATGAAGATGTAGTCTAGACATATACTTAATAATGAAGATGTAATCTAGACATGTATTCAGAAATGAAGTTGTAATCTAGACATGTACCTAATAATGAAGATGTAATCTAGACATGTACTTAATAATGAAGATGTAGTCTAGACATGTATTTAATAATGAAGATGTAGTCTAGACATGTACTTAATAATGAAGATGTAATCTAGACATGTACTTAATAATAAAGATGTAATCTAGACATGTATTTAATAATGAAGATATAGTCTAGACATGTACTTAATAATGAAGATGTAGTCTAGACATGTATTTAATAATGAAGATGTAGTCTAGACATGTACTTAATAATGAAGATGTAGTCTAGACATGTACTTAGTAATGAAGATGTAATATAGACATGTATTTAATAATTAAGATATAGTCTAGACATGTATTTAACAATGAAGATGTAGTCTAGACATGTATTTAATAATGAAGATATAGTCTAGACATGTAGTTAATAATGAAGATGTAATCTAGACATGTATTTAATAATGAAGATATAGTCTAGACATGTACTTAATAATGAAGATGTAATCTAGACATGTATTTAATAATGAAGATATAGCCTAGACATGTACTTAATAATGAAGATGTAATCTAGACATTTATTTAATAATGAAGATATAGTCTAGACATGTATTTAATAATGAAGATTTAGTCTAGACACACAAACTGATGTTAAAAAAAACATTTAATCATTATAAGAAAAGAAGGCAGACTTACCACTTGGTTCCTGGGAAGATCATCCAACCTGTCAGCAAGTCGCGCTTCTGTCTGTGGTGACCCGCAGGTGTTTCTAGTGAACCAGAAGGCGCCAAGGCTACCGTTTTGTTCGTATCAGCAAATGACGTTTTATACGTGGCGTCTAAAAAAGTGTGATCATTACTGCTGTTTATAAAAGACGTTTTATCAAGGCTTTTGTTTATTGGCATCACGGTTATGGAATGTTCTGAAGCTATATCTGTATTTCCTGTTGGAGATGGTATAGAGTGTGTAATAACCTGTGAAGTGGGAGCGCTTTCTTTAGTATGTTCGGTATCTATAATACCGGGTGATGAAATAGAACTGTTGGTGTATCCGGTAACTCCGGTACTAAATGGCGAAATAGAATCTGCGGAAGTATGTTTTGAATCTCCAGTGCCTAGTGATGAAACAGAACTTTCAGTAGTAAGATCAATAGCTCTACCCTTTATGGTGCCTACAGAATGATAACCCAAGTCTGAGGATACGTTTTCTGTAGATATAAATGTGCTCTCTGAACCGTTTATTGTTCCTGAGAGCTGCTGATAATGTGACTGAATCGGTTCTGCATTAACCTTATCGTGTGGTTTGTGTACAGCCTCATCTTTTATGTGCGTTCCGTGCTGATGAAGTGAATGATCACCGCGATGATGGCGATGGCGACGATGAAGCGATGGTGCTCCATGGTTTCTGTCACTACTGTTAAAATATGTTGGTACCAATGATGGTCCGCTGACCGAACCCGATGACAGTAGTAACAGCATCTCGAGATTCTTTGCAGCTTGTATTTGGAACTGAACACATTCTCTGGAAATTTTCATAACTTGAAGGTGGCGTTTGAACATGTGCCAGAATGAACTGTTCCTTGCAGAAGTTATTTTCGCTGATAATACCACCGTTGGTGGGTCATGAGAAGCAGCATTAGCTGTTTCCATAGACGCAAACCCACTATAGACATCACTGAAGTTGCTAGTAATAGAACTTGCGTTAGCTGTGTTGTCGCTACCGCTTTTGGAATGTTTAGAGAGAAAAACAGAGTCTGTGATGTTTTTAACACCTAGATACACATCCATAATATCTGCTTCAAGATGCGACACCTCTCCAGGCCGCACCTGTGCAAACTCTGAGGAGAAGAATAAGACATCTCGATATGATGAAGAAACTATACAGTCGTCTATGGCTCCATAACGTATAACAGTCTCCGCTAATCGTACGCCGTTGGAGGCTCGGGTGAACACAACACTGCTAGATGACTGCACTGATGCCAAAGATGTCGCCAATACCCGCCTCCCTCGATAGGCCAACCTCAATTCCCGAAGTCCTTCTTTTGTCCATGAAAGGATGACATAATTTGTGGCTTCCATTCCAGACTGAAGCAGGATACATATTAGTACGACAGAGAGGAACACTTCTTTGGCTTCTCGAATTCTCATGTTGTGAACAATGAAGTTTGATCTTGTCCAGCTTCCAAGAAAATGTTTAGAAAAAAAATTAAAACCTCAAGGCTGTGAAGGTGGTGGCATGTGAACGCCGACCATGCATGCAGCACCACTGCTTCGGCACTTCCGGTGTCTTGAGCTCATTACGGTGTTTATAAATATTTGTTGCTTCTGTATTTATTCTTCATTCTTTGCTCGAAAACGGCTTCATGTCCACGAAGTCGATAGTGTTTATCTGTTTATAAATGCAGAAATCTAGAAGATTGTTCAGTTTACAGTTTCGTTGTTGATTCTCATGCAGTTGTGATTTTCAACACTCGAAACCAGCTGAACTTTTCTCACGAATCTTGGTCTATATTCTCACTGAATGTAGATCTACGACCTCAAGAAGCACAGTTTCGTTGCCTGTCTTTATTTCGTCGCAAAGAACACTTTCTGATTCCATGTACCATGGAAGTCCTCACGAAAAATAATTACTTATCCTGTTTATCCTTGGCTGCCACTTTATGAAAAACAAACATTTTTCCTGTGTATCCGGACAGTTCTCACGAAGAACGAGTTTTTTTTTCCATCTTTCTTGGTTTATGCAACAAAGACAGTCATTCGTTCAGCTCTACGTCATCACGAAGAAGACCTCCCTCTCCCTGTATCTTGGTCTATGTCGTCACGAAGCTCGATTTCCTTCCCGTTTCTCTTTGGTCTATGCTTTCACAAGAAACAAACACTCTTCCAGATATAAACTCAAACGAAGAACACTCTCTTCTAGTGTATCATCGTCCACATGCACACGAAAAACACTTTTTTTTTTTTGGTCTACGCTCTCACGAGAAAACAATCGTTCTTCCCGGGTATCATGGTCTATGTCCTTGAGCAGGACAATCACGTTCCTCGCGTATCCTGGTCTACAGCCTTAAGAAGGACAATCACTTTTCTTGCGTATCCTGGTCTATGTCCTTTAGAAGGACAATAACCATTTTTACGTATCCTGGTCTACGTACTTTAGAAGGACAATCACTCCTCTCGCGTATCCTGGTCTACGTCCTTGAGCAGGACAATCACTTTTCTCGCGTATCCTGGTCTACGTTCTTAAGAAGGACAATCACTCTTGTCGCGTATCCTGGTCTACGTTCTTAAGAAGGACAATCACTCTTGTCGCGTATCCTGGTCTACGTTCTTAAGAAGGACAATCACTCTTGTCGCGTATCCTGGTCTACGTCCTTAAGAAGGACAGTCACTCTTCCTAGGTATCCTGGTCTACGTCTTCACACAAAATAATTACCTATATCCCCCGGCATACGTCCCCGAGAAGAACAACTTCACTTGACAGCGCAGGTGTTGAAAATCAGGGGTCTACTTGACGACACCTTGAGAGCTGTAAATAGATCAAGGCTGATGATACTTGCTCGTTGTCTACTCATCGTTCTAAATAAACACAGCGGAAGTTTAGTAGCCGCGAATAGACGCTTGTTTGAGCAGTGCCGAACAAATCCCGACCGTTAAACCCATTCTCACTTCAATTGCCAGTGACTCATGCTGTATTTGACAAGTGTCGCTTGCTGAAGTTCAGGGCATTCATTTCAGCCAGTCTGTAGACTTAATATTTGTGAAGCGCCCTAGTTTTGCTCACCGCTGTCGAGGGTCGAAGGAGAGTTTTCACACGCCTGCAGATGAGTAACCTGTGTGGGAGAGAGGATAGCAAACGTGAGTGGAATTTCAACATATGAAACGTGAGTGAAATAATGTTATCAGAGTAGTGTGGGATATCTTTCTACACATAATAAAGTAAATAGCAGCCATCATCGCCATTAGGTTTCGAAAACCTGGACAATGAACAAGCAGTTAGAAAATCGAATCGTCTCCGGAGATGCGGATACAAAGAAGAAAATGCCTTATTTTATGGAAACAAAAATAACCTGACCATAGGTTCTGGACAGACAAGGAATGAAAAGAATTGCATAAAGGAAAAAAAAAAAAATAGACGAAACCAAGAAGACAACTGAAATATGTCGGCCACATTAAAAGAAAAAACCAACACTGTTGAAACCTGTAGAGATAAGAAAAGTAGAAGTCAAGAGATCAAGAGGTAGATATCAATACAAGCGGGAGGACAACATCAACAACAGTTTCTGATACAGTAGAACTAAGACAGCAGACAACATAATTGAGATCCACTGCAGCCAACGTTTGTTGCGGTAGCGGCACCTGATTTGGTGGGGGGGGGGGGGGGGGGCAACAACTGATTCATCGGGGGGGGGGTGGGGAGGGGACAACAACTGATTCGTCGGGGGGGGGGGGGGGAACAACTGATTCATCGAGGGGGGGGGGGACAACAACTGATTCATCGGATGAGGGGGGGGGGGAACAACAACTAATTCATCGGGGTGGGGGGGGGGCAACACCTTATTCATCAGCCTAATGGAGTAGTAAAGGGTCCTCCACTTACCATTTTTGCTGCGCAGGCAGACAACTGTATGTTGTGTGTGTGTGTGTGGGGGGGGGGGGGTGTCTTTTAGCCAGAGGATTTAGGGCCGCATGATAAGTGCTCTCGGCACGAACCGCGTAGGTTAGGGTTTGATTTGTGCACCCCGGCAGAAAAAGAAAATCCACACCCTTACCGAGGACTCAGATCTTGGTCCCCTATATGAAAGCCTAGGGTTCTTAACCGGACCGGTACCGGCACCTCTCACCGATCATCATCAGTGAAACCTTACTGACTGGCATGTAAGGATACAAGTCAAAGGGTGGAGACATTGATCCTTTCCAGGACGCTGCAGAACTAACCCCAGCATTGAGGGCTGCTTTTTTTTTCGAGGCAAATTTCACATTCAGCAATTTGCTATTGCCCTGAACGGTCAGCCCTCCGTACCACTGTCGAAACCAACGCAAGACAAATCGTCCGCAGCTGGGATCGAACCTGACATTACGAATCGCGTTGGCAACGTCTAAGCGACAGACGCCGATGGTGAAGATAGCGCTGTTAAAAATGATTCCGGCATAAATTTTAGACAATTATTGCTGTCTTTGAAGACATACTGAGCACATTCTCGGCGAAGCAGAAACATAAGCTCAAAACAAGCACGGAAACTGAGAGTAAATCGATTGAGAAAAACAAGATCCTAAAAGAAACCCTAAGAATAACAAAGACCAGAGAAGCCAGAGGTGCCGGTCTAGATCCAGTAAACCAGCGATTGCCAAACTTTTTCTAGTAGCGACCCCATTTTACAGCATAAGGCAGTCCCAATCAGCACACAGAAATATCTGATACAAAGCATATTCATTCCCACCCTATGCTTCAGGTACTCACAACAGAACGTAAAAGACAATTAGTAACCATGGAAATGAGGTGTCTGAGAAAGGCTGTAGGAGTGACGAGGAGAGATCCAATCAGGAATGAGGTCATTCGAGATCAAGTCAGCACAGAACCAATTCTAAATTATATACAAAGTTAGCAAATCCAATGGTTTGGCAACTAGAGAGAATGCCTTCTGATGCTATACCATAGAAGGCACATACCAAAAGAGGAGAAGGACGTAGAGCAAGAGGTAGATCAAGAACAAGATGGGAAGATAATATTAGAGAAAATCTACAGTATCACGATGTGTCTATGGGTTAAGGAGCCAGAAAAGCACGAAGCAGGACCTTATATCTCCTTCGACACCCGTAGCCGTAAATGAGGAGGTAAAGAAGAAGAAGAAAGAGAAGAAAACATCCAAAATTATTTTTGCCTTTTTTTTAAATTGCTCAAAGCTCACCACTGCTCACAGACTCTACACAAACCTTTTCGCGACCCCAAAGAGGGTCGTAACACATGGGTTGGAAACCCTTAAAATTAACGATATGGAAAAGGTTCCACAAGCTAGAACTGACGAGCCGAATCAACTGCGAACTTAATGTAACTGCAAACGTCAACAGATGATGATGATGATTTCTCCTTTCGCATCGTGTAATTTCTAGTCTACTCTGTGGTCTGGCCGGTTACAGCTCTCCTTCACAACTCTGGTTATGTGATCCTGTTTATCAGTTGGCACCATATCTTTGCAGGCTATGTCTCGAAGCTTTCTTTACAAGAGAACTATGTAGGTGTTTTCATTACCTGCATAATGATTGTACTCGGGCAAACATAGCTTAGCACTAGTTTGACCTTTACTAGCAACAGGCAGCAACAACAGGTGCTCTAGTAGAACTAGTTGTAGTCGTTGCAGTAGTAGTAGGTTAGTAGTAGTAGTAGTAGTAGTAATAGCTACGGCAGCAAAAGTAGTTGCTGTAGTAGTAGTAGTAGTAGTAGTAGTAGTAGTAGTAGTAGTAGTAGTAGTAGTAGTAGTAGTAGTAGTACTAGTAGTAGTAGTAGTAGTAGTAGTAGTAGTAGTAGTAGTAGTAGTAGT